GTGAGTGTCGTTAACTGTATAGACCTACCGTTATTCTGACGTAAGGAGCCCAGACCGCCATTACGAGGTATGTCATTTTTCCATTCTTTCTCGTCCGACCTTCGTGGCCACTTGACTAGGAAGGTGTTAGACAGAACTAGGTGTTTAGGGGAAAGCCTTCGCATTCACCCCTTCGATTCGCATTCACAAATTCAACCGACTGTTCAACTTATCGCAACTAATAATGAATTCACAAAGAAGCGAGTACGTGAGTCAAAATAAAAGATGTAATAAACCAATAAGAACCAGTAAGACGAGAGAAGTATTTCCGTCGCCCAGAGAAAAAGGAAAAGGTAAGTTGCCTGCCACCATGAGCAAGTAGCGGCGAGGTCACGTGACTCGGTAGTATTTCACCTGCACTAGAACACGCCGGAGGAGTCGCTGCACCGCCCCGTTGATGGGATGTGTGTGGCCCTGGCCGGCGCTTCCTCTCTCGGGAATGCCTGTCCGCTATTCGGGATTATGTGCATCTCTCTTTCTCGAGCAAATATTGTCTTGCGGAAAGATTCGACCCGACTGCTGTCAGTTATTTTGAGGTCTGGCCAAGTGTGTCATTAGTTCATAACAAAGCAGTTGTTCAAGGTGTCAGAACTATATCAGTACACACATGTAGGCACTCGCGTGCGCGCACACACAATGCGGTTTTGTATGTGTATATATTTGCGCTCACAACCATTATGTCTGTGTAAGTACATGCATACACATGGACATATATATATATATATATATATATATATATATATATATATATATATATATATTCTTATATAAACACATTATATATAAAATCACACGCGTGTCTAACACACACACACACACACACACACACACACACACACACACACACACACACACACACACACACACACACACACACACACACACACATTTATATATATACATACATACAGATTATATATGTGTATATATATATGCATATATATGTGCATATATATATACGTGTATGTGTGTGTGTGTGTGTATGTATGTGTGTGTGTGTATGTGTATTATGCGTGTGTGTGTGTGTGTGTGCGCGTGTGTGTGTGCGTGCGTGCGTGTGTGCGTGTTTGTTTGTGTGTGCGTGCGTGTGCGCACGCGTATTACACGTAGTTCGAAGGCTTTGCTTGTAAATAATCTGAAGGGGTATGCAGGGACAACATATTCAGATCATGCGCATACGCATGCGCGGACACAAACTCCCACAATCGTTTTGCCACAAAGAAATAGGTGAATATTACGATGTGAAATATGACAAGGACAAATAAAAATAGATAGAGACGTTTAGAGATTGTAAATGAAGAGAGAAGAAAAGGAGTACAAAACGTAGAGATAAGCAAAGGGAAGAACCGAAAGGGATTGTAGAAGATTAGGAAGTTCGTTAAAGATTGAAAAAAGGCGAAGGGGAAATGAAGGAGAACGAGGGTTATGAGACAGACAGACAGACAGAAAGACACAGACACCGAGAGATGGTCCTTTTTCAGTGGGCCCGAATCAACCAAGCAGTAACGCGCGCGGACACTAGTGTTTGCACGAGACGCAAGATTAACTGACGGGCATTGGCTGTGGTCTAAAAAGCGAGATTTCAGTCGTTGAAAAGTTGTTGATTTTATTTTCGTGCGCAAATTGACAGCATGAGGAAAACGGAAATAGGTTTAGATAAGAGAGATGGAGGTAGAGAGGAAGAGACAGACAGAGCATTAAACAAAATCTGAGAATGATATCCGTGTGACAAAGAAAAAAGACCAATGTATAATCAGTGATGAATGAATGGATGAAAGGACAGGCCAATGGGTGGGTATCCGCGATAGGCTGGAAGACCGCGTCTGTTGCGTGGGTGGTTAAATGTTTATTTATGGATCTCTCTATGCAAGACTCAAAGGAACGAGATAGATTGAAGGGAAACTTCAGTTGCCGTTATATCCTAGCCATCAGCGTCATCACATTATTATCAATCACTATTACATGGAGATCAGAGCGGAATTGATCACACCGCCCATTTGCTGGTATCTGGTATCGACGCCTCTCCTCGTCCTCCCCTCCCCCTTCCTTCCTTCCTCCCCCACCTACTGAGCACCTGACCTCCTTGCCACAACTTTAAGAAATAATAAATGAACTGTGGAATGCTAAAGACAAATTATTTACCGACGCTGTTGGGGCGCCTGTATTTTATGACTGTTTCCCGGCGCAGACAGTTTAATAACATTTGTCCGTTTTGTATTTTATACGCTGCAGGGTTATCTGTTGAGCTTGCTAGATACTTGTTTGTAAGCATTGGGAGCAGTAATTGTAGTGCGGAGATTTATGTTGGTCTGTGTGACTTTTAAGATTAATTCTGTTGTTCTGTTTGCTGTTGTCATTCTGTTGTTGCCATATGATGATAATAATGATTATGATAATGATTATGATATTATTAATTGTTGTTTTAGTTATTGTTTTTATTTCTACTGATATCCTTTGATGTTCGCGGAGCATAACTGCAGTACAATTGGAAGGTGACAACACAGTTAATTCAACTTAACCGCACTCTTTATAATAGAAGTGACAAGCATTGCGGCAATCAACGCAAGCAATGCATGCAATAAAGGCAAGCAAGGACCCACGAAAATCTCAGGTTGTTCCGAAGGGGTAGCGCGAGGCCCTCATTGCTGTAGATGACGTCAATGTTGCGCGTACAAGGTGGCACAGGGCGTACCCACACGGCTTGGAGGAGGGCGGTTTGTTGGCACTGGCACTCGGATCGTGAATATAAACGGAGATACATTGAGTAAACGCCGCTGAAGGCGATACAAGTAGCCCCGCTTAGTGTCGGTTTCCCCGTAGGCCTACATGTTACAAAACGGACGCGTGTTACGTGACACGGATGGGGGTAGATGAAGTTATTTAGCGAGATGTTTGTGTTTGCAAGGATCGCTGCGTTGCGCCCCGTGCCCGCCGCCTTGTATTGTATTGGAGAGTTGCCTAATGTTTTTTGAGGTGAGAGCAGCGGACCGGAAAGTAGACAGGGGATCATTGGGTTACGGGGACGTGAGTGGAAAGGCTGATTCCCCGAACGATGGAGAGTGGAAACGTGTATCGGCGGATTGGGCGAAGACGCGGAATTTCACATGATGTTCGTCCTTTTTCCAAATATCATCGATCTCTCCTTTTCACCCCCCCTTCCTCGGATGGGAGTTGCCATAATAATCGGTTGATAAGGATATAACGAATAATAATAATGATGAGACCTGACGGGCCGCTTAAAAAAAGGAAATCGCGAGGACCCGAGGCCGTGGGTGCGACGCTTCACTGGGTATCATTCGCTCGTCATGAATCAAGGTAGCGAATACTATGGGGACGGCGAAGGGTGATCGGAGGGGGAAGGGGGGGGGGAGAAAAGGTGAATTGCGCGCGCACCTGTTGTAACGATCATGCCTCCGTGAAGGGCCGTGCATGGATCTTTTCATGAGGGATGTCGAGGTTCCTGATTAAGTTCTGTAATTAAAGGTTACTCTTATTTTTCTTTTTTTCTTTTTTTCTTTTTTTACTGAGGATATAATGGTTCTGAAAATATCGACTTCCTCGCGTTCGTATTCCGGGTTCAAGGCGGTTGTCGTCGTTCGTTATAAGGGGTCTCGTCACGTTCTCCGCCGTTCATTCAAGCAAGATCTCGTCAGTGCATTTCCTCCGAGGGAATTTCTTGTAGTCCGGATGGCAAGTCTTCCCTCGTTCGTCGGGTTTATTTTCCCCTCTTCGGTTTTCTTTTTTTTTTCCTTGATTTATTTTCGGGTTGTAAGAAGAGCTCCCTCCCTCCCCCCCCCTTCCCCTCCCCTTCCCCTCCCCCTTCCCCCCCTCGGAGGTACAAGTACAATCTAAAAGGAAATTAGATGTCACTAGCATTGTTACAGATGGCGCTTCTGGAGGCATAGCTGGTGCTTCTCACTCGGGTGCGCGCGGTGGCCATTCTGATCCGCTTTTATTGTTATTATTATTATTATTATTATTGCTATTATCCAAAGGCTTTCGGTGCGGACAAGAAAATTTGGTAGTGTTGAATCGCTACTTCATTTTGCCTCCTTTCCTGTCTATCTATCTGTCTATCCATTTTTCCACATTTCTTGTTTACTATCTCACTCTTTACTTTTCCATCAATAAATCTATGTCTATCTAAATATATAAATAAACTACACTCAATCTATGATGTGTGATGTATATCCTGAAATTGATAACGTAGTGCCTTACTAAATTACTATTTTTTAATGAATTATTAATTAATTTCTGATGACAATAGTAACGATCATGAATATATGATGATATGATAATCGTGATGTTTGTAATATTAGTGATGCTGTTGACAATAAAGATAATGGCAGCAATGGCATTTATAACGGTGATAATAATGATGACAATAATAATGATAAAATTATTATAATATCAATGATCACGACATTTATGGTGATTATGATATAACTGATAAAATAATGATGATGATTATATTAATGATTATGATGATAATAATAATGATAATAATAACAACAATAATAATAATAATAGATAAAAATAAAGATAATTATTGATAAATATAATGAGAATGAGAATAATCATAATAATAATAACAATAATGATAATAATAATAATATAATAACGACATTATTGATTATTATAAAACTAATAATGATTATACAATGATGGTATAAAGATAACGATTATAATAGCAATGATAAGGCACACCTGCCGTAGACGACGGGCCGCGCGAAAGCCAAACGGAATTGAATTCGCGGCCTCAACTTGAACGAACTCTATGACGTCTGTTATTCGCTTTCCCTTCCTTCTTTTCTCCCTCCCTCCCTTCCTTCCTTCCTTCTTTCCTTTCGCCCTCGGTTCATGCCTTCTCCCTCTCTTCCTTTCGTTCTTTTCCTTCTTTCTTTCCTCCCTCCCTCCCTTCCCTTTTTTTTCCTTCCTTTCTCATTTCCTCCCTTTCTTCT